CCCTGATGTACACCCCTAATATAGGCTGCTACCAAGTCTCCTCTGAGTCTTCTCTTCTTCAGATTGAACCATTCCAAGTCTTTCATCCTCTCCTTATATGACCTGCTCTCCAGCCCTCTAATCACATGCATGGCCCTCCTTTGGACTCTCTCGAGCTTCTCCACGTCCTTCCTCAAGTGCGGCACCCAGAAGTGGATGCAGTACTCCAGCTGTGGTCTCACCAAGGCCGAGCAGAGCAGGAGGATTTCACCCTTAGTCTTGCTTGAGATGCATTGATAGATGCAAGCCAGTGTTTGATTTACTCTGCCAGCTACAGCATCACATTGGTGGCTCATGTTCATTCTGTGGTCTATCATGACACCCAGGTCTCTTTCAAGCATAACACTGCTGAGCCTGTTAGGTTTGCTGTGAATTATTTCCCCCCAGATGGAGCACTTTACATTTCTCCATATTAAATGTCATCAGGTTGAGATCTACCCACCTCTCAAGCCTGTCCAGTTTGGTCTGTATTATCAGCCTGTCCAAGCGTAAACCACGCTCCCCTATTATTTAGTGTTGTGCACGAACTTTGTCAGTTTGCTTTTAATACTTGAATCCAAATCATTTGTGAACATGTTGAAAAGCACTGGTCTGAGTACTGAACCCTGAGGGACACCACTGGTCACCTTTCACCATCAAACACAGGAACCTGAGTCCTGGCTGTTTAGTGCATTTCAATGCCAGGGCCTGTACTCTACAATTAATACATTTTATGTATTTAACAGTGTTCCAAGATTCCCTAAAAAGGTGTTTAAATTAGATGTCTGTTCTGGCACAATTAGTACATCTATTATTTGCATCATGTTACTGCTTTGATCTAAACTCCTTGATGATGAAGATGGATGCTGAAGATGGATGTGAGAAAGATGAGCTGGAATGCTCTTCTAATGTTTTCTGTATTAATGGAAAATTAAGAAGTAATCCTGAACTTCTGCTTTCCTTCCAGTTTATAGCTTTGTTTTCAAGCCTTATCTTGTTTATTGATAAAAGTTTAGGTTGTCCTGTTTAATGGAGATTATAAATAGTTTGTCATGCCTAGATGTATCCTGGAGTGATTACTATAATAGTCAGAATTAATTTAGACATGAGATGCAAATTCTCATAGGAAGTTAATTTCTCCTACTGGAGGGCAAGAATGAGATGGTCAAGGCTGAAACAACTGTAGAGAAAATTGACATTACCTGTATATCTAAGGACTGTAAATCAAGGCACTGACATGCCAAAACACTGTTTTTTATTGATCTGCTAGAAGGTAATTGAGTAATAGACTACATGATATCTATATATCTATTTATAATATCTATAAGAAACAGAAGAATGTTCCATTTCATAACTTCTACAGCAATTTGTAAATGTCAACTTAAGAAAATTTAACAGACTATCCCAATATGGATTCTATTGATAAACAGTACTAATGTGGTCAGTAGTAAATACATTTTTGATTTTTTCAGCTATGAACACAGTGTCATATTAAAAGCCCTTCATTTTTGTGTAGCATGGAACATTTGCAAGAAGACATATAAATTCCCCTCCCCCCATGACAATCTATACTAGTACCAATGTATATTTTCTCTTCTTGCCACAGGAAATTGGAAGCCTATCATATTGCAGCTGAATAGGATGAATTGGTGTGAGAAACTCTGAAGATCATATTTAAGAGTGTGCTGTATCTGCTTGTAAATAGAAAATATTTCAAGCACTTCCTTTTCATAAGTACGTCCATTAATACTGAGGTACTGCAAGAGCATTAATTTCTGTACAACATGCAGCTGCTACTCTGTATGAGGAAGAAAATGCCTTTGTGTATGTTTTCAGATGACTTCTCATGTAGTTCAGGGATTGATTGGTGGACTTGATACCTAACTTTTTTCCTTGTTAAATTACTACCAGTGTAATTTAAAAAAACAAGAAGCACCAAAGCCCTGTGGTAGGCACTTCAAACATAGGGGATTAACATAAAACAAATACCACTTGCTTGTAAACTCAGTCTTTCTCAGCCCAGGGAACTTGCTTCTGTTCTGGTTCTGCAGAGTTGCTTAGCTAAATCCAGGTCCCTTCAGGAGCCCTGCAGCCCAGAGCTCCTAACTTTATGGTTACTGGGGAGAGATTGCATGACCCATGCAGTTTCTGGGCTTATGTAGCTCCAGCCTGAGCCCTCTTCTGGTCAGGTGAGTCTCTCATTAGCCCCCTGCATGACCCTTAAAAAAGCACACCCCAGTGGCTTGTTACATTGACCCTGGACTGTGTTGAAAACTACTAGATTTCCCTCTGCTTTTGGATCCCACCCTCTGACCCAGTCCCAGGCCCCTGCTTTTCCTCAGTGATCTAACCATTTGACAAGACCACCTACACTCTGGTCCCTTGCATCAGACTTCTCCCCAGACTAAATAACCCAGGTTCTTTCAGACAAGTTTGTTTGGGTAAATCTGATATCTTTTATTAGACCAACTCAGATAGTTGGAAAAATTCTTTGCACACTTTCAGGCACAAATACTCTTCGTCAGGCTGAAGAAGCATCTGCAGTTGGTCTGTGCTCTTCCAGGATGGAATGAATAGTAGTTTCATAGTTTCATAGATTTAGGGTCGGAAGGGACCTAGTAGATCTTCTAGCCCGACCCCCCGCCAGGGCAGGAGAACAACAAAACCCCAAAACAAAAACGGAACTCAAATGAGTCCAGCCAGGTAGGCATCCAGCCTCTTCTTAAAGACCCCCAGGGTAGGGGCCAGCACCACTTCCCTTGGAAGTTGGTTCCAGCTCCTAGCCGCCCTAACTGTGAAGTAGTTTTTGCGGATGTCCAATCTATACCTCCTCTCCATCAACTTGTGCCCATTACTCCTTGTTATGCCAGCGGGCGCTAGGGGAAACAGCGTCTCCCCCAAACCCTTCTGGTCCCCCCTAGTGAGTTTATAGACGGTCACCAGGTCCCCCCTCAGCCTTCTCTTGTGGAGGCTGAATAGGTTCAGGTCCCGCAGTCTCTCACTGTAGGGTCTGCCCTGTTGTCCCCGGATCATGCGGGTGGCCCTCCTCTGGACCCTCTCCATGTTGTCCACATCCCTCTTGAAATGGGGCGCACAGAACTGGACACAATACTCCAGCTGTGGCCTGACCAGCGTCGCGTAGAGGGGGAGGATCACCTCCTTGGCTCTACTCGAGATGCACCTGTGGATGCACGACAAGGTCCGGTTAGCCCTGCCAACCATGACCTCGCATTGTCGGCCCATGTTCATCTTGGAGTCAATAATGACTCCAAGATCTCTTTCTGCCTCCGTGCTCTCAAGTAGGGAGTTCCCCATTGTGTAAGTGTGCTGCTGGTTCCTACTGCCCAAGTGCAGCACCCTGCACTTGTCCGTATTGAAACGCATCCTGTTCCTGTTAGCCCACCCCTGTAACCTATCCAGATCCTTCTGCAATCTCTCACTCCCTGCTAGCGTGCTCACCTCCCCCCAAATTTTGGTGTCATCAGCGAATTTAAACAGGTTACTTTCCACCCCACCATCTAGATCGCTGATGAAGAAATTGAACAGCGCAGGCCCCAGGACCGAGCCCTGGGGGACTCCGCTACCCACCTCCCCCCAGGTCGAGTAAAGAAGACAGAGTCTGGTATGCATGCAAAAAGGCCAGTCAGTGAAGATGTATATTGAGGAGTCAGTGGGTGAATCTATAACTCCTCAATTTACATCTTTAATGATTGACTTTCTTACATGCATACCAGCCTCTGGCTTCTTTACTATTTATTCCATCCAGGAAAAGCACACACTAAATGCAGCTGCTTCCTCAACCTGACAAAGGATATTTGTGCCCGAAAGCTTGCAAATATACATATTTCCAACTATTTGAATTGGTCTAATAATAGATATCAGATTTACCCAAAGAACTTTGTCTGCCTATGTCCCTAGACCAACACGGCTAGAGGTTCTTTCAGAATACCCCAGGTTCTTTCAGGTTTTCCTCCAAAATCTGCCTCCCAAGCCCCTGATTATTTCTGTTGCTCTGTTCTGGACTCCTTCCAAAACTGTCCATGTCCATCTTGAACTGTGGGGCCCAAAACTGGATACAGCATTCCAGGTGAAGCCCCACCGGTGCTGAATAGAATGGAAGAATCACTTCCCTTGATTTGCAAGTGACACCTCTGTGAATACATCCCACTATACTTTTTGCCTTTTTTGCAACAAGACCATACTGTTGGCTTACATTCAGCTTTTGGACTAATGCAATGATTTTTTCCTGGGGTGTCTTGAGATCTTTTCAAGGGTGACATGCAAAGTTTGCACTATTAGGTGTGCAGACATGATTAACAAATTAAACCCAAAGATTTTACAGAGGAATCCATACTGTCAAAAGCATTCTGACCTGTCATAGGTTTTCTGAGTTCTTTGCAATGGAACAATTGTTCTATTATTTTTCTGCAGTTTAAAATCAAGTGAAAGCTAAGAGCTAGCATTTTCAAAGAGATGCCTAAGTCTGAAACACTGAGAACCATTGGTCTACTGTAACACATGATGCGACTACCCAAAATATTTTTTCAGAAGCAAGTTCAATATTAACCCATGTTTTTTTCCTATGCTGACACATAGCTTCTAGGAGCTATAGTTTTGGCTCCCATTTTTTTCCTCTTTGGACAGGACTTCCTTGGAGGACCACATCGCCTATCTGGCCATTTCCATTGTGTTTCATGGTAGTTACATGAATGCTGGATGATAAACCATGTGTCATGTAGCCTGACTAGGGAAACTGGCATGTAAAAGACTGAACTTTTGAACCACAACTGATATGAATCAATGCAGCATTATGAAGAAATGTGGTTCAATGTTGAACTGATTCCAAATTATGTTTGTGCGTTTGGTTAATAGAGTGATGAACATAGCATACAGGTTTAGAGGGAGAACTTTGCATACTACATGGCCACGTATATATGTCTATAATATATGTTGTGTCTTTCACTGAACCAGAAATCACCTGAATGGCTGACACTGCAACTAACAGAACTGTGACACAAGCTGAAGAGCAGCGTCCTGCGAGCTTCCTGGCCTTCATTTCTCACTTCCAAATAGCTACCATCTTTTTTTCCATTATTGGCTGGGTTCTGTGTATAGTTGCAGTAGGATTTGTAAAATGGAGAGTGTGGCGTGTGGATAACAGTACTGTCATTTCTTCTGGGACTGTCTGGATTGGAATATGGGATGTCTGCTATACACTTAAATCTTTTGCCAGGGGTAACTATGAGCACATGCGCTGCCAAAAACTCAATATCCGGAATCATTTTGTTCCCATAGAAATTTCCGTTTCCCAAGACCTTCTTGGTTTAGCGACTGTCCTGGAAGCACTAGCTGTAGGATTTATCATCTTTGCTTGGTGGAGTGATTATAGTAGGGGACTTAGTAGCAATTACATTTTAGCTGTTTTCTTGATTGGGGTATTCTTGAACATCATTTCAAGTATTGCTATCTTAATTTCAGTAATCTGGAATTTATATTCCATAATGAGTAACAGTCCTATTAATTTCCCTCCTAGCTACTTTGTGCCGTCTCCAAATTTTCAGCACATTGGGAATGGTATTCCCGTAGGGTTTGTATCTGGTCTGTTATTGCTGTTGAGTGGTCTCTTATTACTCTTTGACAGGACTCTTAAATTAATCAATCAGGTCCATCCTAGAAAGATAAAATTTAATCGGGTATCATTTAGCTGGAGTGAAACAAAATCCAAAGGTTCAAAGGAAAATCCTTCTGTCAGATCAAGTCAAACTTATCCACACTGTGGATCTTGCTTGCAAATTGACTTATGGGGCCCACGGAAAGCCTTTGGCAGGGACAGTTGTTCTGGGACATATCCAGAGAGAGGCCCTGTGCTGACGGCAAAACCAAAACCAGGCAAACAAGAAACATTACCCTCCTTTCAGATACCTATTGGACTTTTTCCACGACGACCAACCAGATTTGTAAGATCTAAGTCTAGTACATTCATAATTGGTGGAGAGCTGCCTTATTTTTAGTTTGGATAACTAGCTTAATTTCTTACACAGTAAAGTGACTGTCAGATCCTAGTAGAAAGAGAAAAAGTCTCCAGAAACCAGGTATGAAATGGAAGGGCTCCCTGCTTGACAGGAATCTGACAGGTGCTTTGTATGTTACATCAAACAAGGAACTGGCAAAACTGAGGCCCGTATCTGTTCAACCCCTCTTCAAAAGCTTTCACTGGGGCTCCATATGTTGCATAGTTTGCAAGACAGATCTATACTGCTGACAAGTACAGTTCTGAAAGCAGGATTTTACCATTAGGGCCAAATTCTGTTCCCAGCTACATGAGTGCCGCTCTTGTGTAACTGGGAATAGAACTTGGCCCTGTGTCCTCAGTGAGTTTTCTGTCCCTACAACTCAGAGAATATGGGGTACTGAAAGCCTTCAGCACCTTGAAACTAATAGAGTTGGGAGCATCCTGTACACCTCAGGAGGCAAACGGTATCTCACTGGCTTGTTTTTTGAATAGAGAATGGTTCTTCTTAAATGCCAAACATTTATTTGCAAGAGCATGTAACTGAGGAAAACGGCTGTTTCATTCTACAATTGCTGACTACTGTCAATTGTGACCTTTACTGCCAGGTTTATTCTTATATTAAAATTGAAAAAAAAGTCTGGTGTTTATTATTGTGATGGTGGTTGGTTGATATGACTGACTTTCCTCAGGGAATTAACAGATGATATTGGCTCAGTCTTGGAAGAGGAAAGATTTTAAGAGTATTACATGTTTGTGTATGTGTTTCAATCTGCCAGAAAGTGTGTGTCTTTTATAACCCTCACTTTTAGCTACTGGGAGGGTAGATACCCATGTTAACCTGAAGTCAGGCAGAAGGCAGGGCAGGGTGGCACAGTACAGACTGAAAGGCTACAATAGCTTTTATGCTTTTCTGAACAAGTTAGTCTGTAAGGTGCCACCCTATTCTCCCTTCTCTTAGCAACTGAGCTAGAGTTGTGATGTTGATTCTGTGGAACCCTCCCACCCCGTGATCTTAACAATACCTGCTACACAATGTTATCCATCTGCTACACAATAGTTTCATAGTTGTTAGGATCAGAAAGGACCTCAATAGATCATAGTTTCATAGTTTCATAGTTTCTAGGGTCGGAAGGGACCTGAACAGATCATCTAGTCTGACCCCCTGCCATGGCAGGAAGAGCACTGGGGTCAAATGACCCCAGTAAGGTGGTCATCCAACCTCCTCTTAAAAACCCCCAGGGTGGGAGCCTGCACCACCTCACTTGGAAGCTGGTTCCAGACTCTAGCCGCCCTGACCGTGAAGTAGCACCTCCTGATGTCCAACTTAAACCTTCCCTCCGCCAGCTTGTGACCATTGTTCCTGGTCACTCCTTGCGGCGCTCGGGGGAACAGGGACTCCCCCAGCGCCTGCTGATCCCCCCTAACCAGTTTATAACAGGCCACAAGATCCCCCCTCAGCCTTCTCTTTTGAAGGCTGAACAGGTTCAGGTCCCGCAACCTTTCCTCATAGGACCTACCCTGCTGTCCCTTGATCATACGAGTGGCCCTCCTCTGGACCCTCTCGATGCTGTCCACATCCCTCTTAAAGTGCGGCGCCCAGAACTGGACGCAGTACTCCAGCTGCGGCCTGACCAGTGCCGCATAGAGGGGGAGGATCACCTCCTTGGACCTGCTCGAGATGCATCTGTGGATGCACGACAAGGTGCAGTTGGCCTTCCTAGCCGCCTCCCCACATTGCTGACTCATGTTCATCCTGGAGTCAATAATGACTCCCAGATCCTTTTCCACCTCCGTGCTGACAAGAGGGGAGTTCCCCAGCCTGTATGTGTGGTGCCTATTGTTCCTCCCCAGGTGCATCACCTTACACTTGTCTGTGTTAAACCCCATCCTGTTCTCCGCCGATCCTTGTAACCTGTCTAGGTCTAACTGTAGCCTGTTGCTCCCCTCAATTGTGCCCACTTCCCCCCACATCTTAGTGTCATCAGAAAACTTGAACAGGGTGCTTTGCACCCCCTTGTCCAAATCACTGATGAAGATATTGAGCAGTGCAGGCCCAAGGACCAAGCCCTGTGGGACCCCACTTCCCACGTCCTTCCAGGTCGAGAAGGTCCACGTCCTTCCAGATCGAGTCTGACCCCCTGCCCTGGGCAGGAAAGAGTGCTGGGGTCATATGACCCCAGCCAGGTGCTTATCCAGTCTCCTCTTAAAGACTCCCAAGATAGGGGAGAGCACCACCTCGCTGGAAGCCCATTCCAGACTCTGGCAACCCTTACCATAAAGAAGTTTTTCCTGATGTCCAGCCTAAATCTGTTCTCTGTCAGTTTGTGGCCATTGTTCTTAGTTATTCCAAGGGGTGCCCTAGTAAACAGAGCATCTCCTATTTCTTGCTCCCCCCACCTCCCCCAATGAATTTGTAAATAGCCACAAGATCACCTCTCAGCCTTCTCTTGTGGAGGCTGAAGAGATTCAGATCCCTCAGTCTTTTCTCACAGGGCCTTACCTGCAGGCCCCTAACCATACAAGCGGCCCTCCTCTGAACCCTCTTAAGGTTATCCACACCCCTGTTGAAGTCCGGCACCCAGAACTGGACTCAGTTCTCCAACTATGGCCTGATCAATGCCAAATAGAGAGGAAGTATCACCTCCCTGGACCTGTTCATGATGCACCTGCTAATGCATGATAGAGCATGGTTAGCTTTACTGATTATTTCATCACATTGATGGCTCATTCATCTTGGAATCAACTATGACTCTGAGATCCCTTTCTGCCGCTGTGCTGCTGAGAAGGTCACCCCATAGCCTATAGGTGTGTTGGTGATTCCTTCTCCCTAGATGCAACACTTTGCACTTGTGTTTGTTGAACTGCATCTTATTCTTTTCTGCCCACTTTTCGAACCTGCCCAGGTCCACCTGGATTCAATCCCTTCCCACTAGTGTGTTTACTTTACCCCATAATTGTGTCATCTGCAAATTTGGGCAGTGTGCTCTCCATGCCCTCATCCAAGTCGCTGATAAAAACATTGAACAGGACAGGTCCAAGGACTGAGTCTGGGGGGACTCCACTGCCCACATCTTTCCAGGTTAATACTGACCCATCCAGCACCACTCTGTGTGGTAAGCCAATTTGCTACCCACCTGACTGTGTAATCATCTATGTCACAGCTGCTCTTTTTGTTTATGAGACTAGGATGAGATACTGTATCGAAGGTCTTAAAATCCAAGTAGATAACATCTACCTTGACTCCTGCATCTGAGCATTTTGTGACCTGGTCATAAAAAAAAATAAAGTTAGTCATGCAGGATCTACCTGCTATAAACCCATGGTGATTGCCCTTCTGCATTATTTTTCCTGCTGGGCTCCCACAAATGTGATCCTTGTTAATTTTTTCAAAGGTTTTCCCAAGGATAGAGATGAGACTAACCAGCCTATGGTATCCATCTGCATGAAACTAGGAATGAATTGAAAAACTTTCAACGAGTGGTATCAGCAATTTCATAAACAGGTCATTTTTAAAATAAAAACTTCCAAACTTCCCTGAAGACAAATAAGTCACTGTGAAGATTGAATCTACTGGGTTCTGTCTTATACAACTGAAGAGCCAGCAGAGAGCATGGAAGAAAAATAACAAGTTGTATTTGTAGTAGTAAGTACAGGAGACAGGAAGACTAACTGCTGTATCTATTTGATTCCAAGACAAGCCCCCTCACCCCCCTTCATCATAGGAAAAAAGAAAGCCTCATCTTAGAATGAAGTAACATAGCTGGGAACTGGAAAAGTGGCTGTGCAGGGAGCCCAGCTAGTGCAGGGTACAACAGCAGCAGCATGCTGATTCCTGTTTCCAGCATCTCCCCACCCTCCTCCCCTTGTCTGCTAGCCTTGCTAGCAAGGATTCAGTCAGAGAGAGATGAATTTTCATGCTGCTGCTGTGGTTTCCAGTAAGATCGGTTCCTTGAGAAACAGCTTCTCAGAGCTTCTAGCTAGAGTTTAACTCAGCTGTGGCAGGCTCAGGGGAGCTCCAGAGCTGGTCCTGCCCCATGCTGAAGAGAGCAGCTGTGCAGGGAGGCCAGCTCTGCAGTGTGCAGATCCTTCAAGCAAGCTCCTGGTCAGCATGAGAGACTGAGGAGATGGGAAAGGGGCCATGCAGGAAAGGAGGAACCTTTGGCTGCAGGCTCCCTGCAGCACAGGGCAGGAGTAGCTCTGGAGCACCCACTATGCCCAGATCAGTGGGGAAAGCAGCACCAAGGGGAGGTAGGTGGGGAGGCAAGGGGTAGGGAAGTGGTGGGGGGCCAGGCACTAAAGGAGTAAGAGGAAGAGGCAGGCTGCTGGTTTCCCTCTCCTCTCCCCCACCCCTGCTTTCCCCCTGCCTTCTTCCCATCCCTTCTTTCCACCCCCACTCCCTCCATCCCCTGCCTACCCCTGCCTGTGCTTTCCCTTCTACTTTCCCCCTGCCTGCTCCCTGCCTGCCTTTCCCCCAGAGGATATGGGTAAGGATTTTCCCTGCTGTGGAAAGAACAGCGATAGCTCAATAGTTCCCACACACAGACTTATCTCCTCTCTTGTGGAATGCTAACATCATGACTATCTTCAAGTCCCCAGGGATCTCGTCATTGTTCCAAATTCCTAGAATAAATATGCAGAGTCTCAGTACCAGTTCCTCACCTCCAGCCTTGTAGATTTCAGCAGGTATGCCATCTAGTCCAGTAGCTTTTTTGTTCTTGGTTTCCTTGATGGCATGCCAGACATCTAGGATGGGAGGGTTCGCAAGGGATCCCCTTTAAGTGTGTTAGGGGATGAACTTGATGGTAGTGTCTCCCACAGTTGACTTAGAGTTCAGGAGTGTCTCAAAGTGTTCTTTCCAGCTTGGATAGGTTCAGTGTCTTTGAGGAACATTGAGGCATCCTGCAATCACAGGAAAGTAGGACCGTGGGAAGTTGGGCCATAAAT